TTTTCTTTCAAAAGACATACTAAGCCGTAATATGTGCCAGACATTTTGGGGAACAGAGTTAAGTAAAAAGAATGTGTAGAAGCCAGAGAAATGTTCTTTAGAGGAATATTGACCTGAAGCCATACCATATGATGTTATTAGCACAACTCAGTGTGTATTTGAAACTAGAGATGTTTACTAACATTTTGAAAGTCACTCCTACAGAATGGCATAAATGGGATGTTGATCTTTTGGTTTTTGCTTTTTTCATTTAGAGTTCTGCCTTTAGTACATCCATGTTGCGATGTATACGTCTAGTGTGCTATCACGACATTTTGCTTATCCACTCTTCCAGTGAGGGAAACCTATAATACTTCTAATTCCTTACCATCAAAGATGAAGCTTCAGAGTACATGTTGGTCTTATGGAGAACTTCTTTACTATATATATACAAGAGTAGAATTGCTGGATCATGAGATGTGCAAATAGTTTGGCTAAATGGTACAGCCAGATTTCTCTTCCCCAGACTATAGTATCACCAGCAGTACTCGTTCCTACAGGTCTTGTTCCTTTGTCTCCACACTAACACTTGGCATTGTCTCCAGCTTTCTAATTTTTACCAAATAGAATAATGTGATAACTCTTTACTCATCATATGGCTAATGGCCGGTTGATTTTCTCTTCTGTAAATTGAATATTTTTGTCCTTTGCCCTTTCTTTATTGAGGTTGCTATCTTTTTGTTGTGGATTTGTAGTTAACTTAGTTCTTGATATCTTTAGTTCAATCGAGAAATAATTTTGATGTGATTGAATTCATCATTTTTTGGTCTTGTGCTTTATGGTTTTTCATTTAAAAGTCTCCTGGGGGTGTCTGGGTGGAACAGTCAGTTGGGCCGCCTACTCTTGATTTCAGCTCAGGTCATGATCTCGGGGTGATAAGATCAAGCCACACATGGGGCTCTGTGGAGTCTGCTTGTCCCTTGCCCTCTGCTCCTCCTGCCCCCCCGACACTCATGCTTTCTCTTTCTCTCTCTCCATCTCTATCTCTAAAATAAGTAAAATCTTAAAATAAAAATAAAAATAAAAGTCTCCCTGGCCCCATGTCACAATAGTACTCTATATTCATGTATTATGTTCCTTTAACTTCATAGTTTACCATAGTCACTTAGGTCTTTCATCTGAGTCCTCCTTTGTATGTAGCATTATATAGGTATATATACAGTTTGGTATTTCTTCATGTAATGAGCCAGCTTTACCAATATTATGTACTAAATACTTTCATTCCCCCTTGATTTATTTGCAAACTTTATTTTGTACTACATTCAAAAACTATATGGCTGTATTTCTGAGTTTTGTTCTGTTTGATTGGACTATTTGTTCCAATACACTAACTCTACCCTATTTTAATTTCTGTGACTTTTGTAGTATGTGTTAATACTTGTAGGCCAAGAACCCCCTTCAGTCTTCTGTTTAAATCATTGGTTTGGCTGCATGTGCAATTTTATTCTTTTCATATTGGGATTGTATAAATCAATTTGGAGAAACTTTTTATAATCTTCATTTGTTCTATCCAAGATTTTTAAATCATCTTTATGTCCTTTATTAGAATTTTACATTTTTCATAGAGGTCTTATATATTATTAAGTAGTTCCTAGATCCTTGAGAAGTTTGGGGTTGTTGTTTTTTTTTTTTTTTCCCTCACTGTGGTGAAGGGTATATATGTAATACATTTTTTTAGTTAGTATTCTTGTGTAGAAGTTAAAAGTTCCGCAGTTCAAATCCACATCCTGTCACTTAGTAGAGGTATGGCCTTGGGCAGGTAGCTTAAACCTCATGTTTAAAATGAGGTACTTAAAAAAAATAAAAATAAAAATAAAATGAGGTACTTAAAAAAGTACCTGTCTTGTAGGGTTGTTAGGAGAATTTTAAATGAGTTAACATTTGCAATTCCTAGAATAGTAAGTGGTATATACTAAATAATAATGAATATCCATAGATTAATCTTAAATCCAGGAACTTCGTTGAGCTCTTTTATTAGCTCTAATTGTTTACATGTTAGTTTTTTTTATGAGATGCCCATATCTCTTTTCTTCCAGTTCTGACACCTGTCATTTATTCTTTTTTTATTTTATTCTTATTTTTGTAACATTGATTAGGACTTTTGGTACTGAACAGACAATATCAGGCATCATGGTTATCCTTATCTGATTTTATTTTTAGAGGGAATATATCTAAAATTTCTCATTTAGGTTATATTTGCTGAAAATTTTTGATGATAACCTTTACCAAGTTAAGCGGGTAGCTTTTCTTCCTAGATTGGTAAGAGTATTTTGTTTTTGAAGGAACTAAGAAAGGTTAAATATACACAGTTGATAAAATAATGGGGTTTTTTTTTTTTTGGCTTTATTTTCTTACCATGGTGACATATATTTATAAATTTTTTGAAGTTGAGGTATTCTTCCTTTCCCTGGGATAAGCTCTACATGATAGCATATTCTTTTTTTTCTTTACTCTATTAGATTTTGTTAGGTAATATTTGGAATTTTTGCAAGTGAAATGAGCCTGTACTTTTTTTATTTGGTTCATCTTTAGGTTTGGAATTAATATTTTATTATCCTTATAAAAGGAGTTAGTTTATATGCTTTTTTCTTTTTTCTGAAACAACTTAAGTAGGTGTTAATTTCCTTGGAATTTTAGTGGAACTCACTTATAAAACTGTATAGGCCTGGTGCTTTTAAAAGGAGGTTGGTACCTTTTCATTTTCTTTAACACTTACTGGTTTGTTCTATTCAAGTTATCTACTTCTTCCTATGTGAATTTTAGTATTTTCTTCCAGAATTCAGCCATTTCATCTAGATTTTCACATTTAGTATATATTTGGGTTTTTTTTTAAGATTTATTTACTTACTTATTTGGCAGAGAGAGACCACAAGCAGGGGAGAGCGGCAGGCAGAGGGAGAAGCAGGCTCCCCACTGAGCAAGGAGCCCAATGCGGGACTTGATCCCAGAACCCTGGGATCATGACCTAAGCCAAAGGCAGACGCTTAACCAACTTAGCCACCCAGATGTCCTCTGTTTTTTTATTTTTAATCTCTTTTTGTGTTTTTAAGTCTCTCAAGTTTGACTAGTTCACTTTTCTTACTCATATTTTCAAAAAACCATCTTTTAGTTTTATCAGTCTTTTCTGTTCTCATATGCTATTTCATTTCTGCCTTTATTTCCTTCCTGCTTATTTTGCTGTTGCTCTTTTCCATTATTTTGAATTGAATGCTTAACTTGTAGATATTTAAACTTCCTCATTTCCTCGTCAGTGTATTCAAAGCTATAATTTTCTTTCAGGTATGTGTTTCCCATGTCCCACAAATTTTGCTTTGTATGGTTTATATTATTCGGTTTTAGTATTTAACATCCTTTATAATTTCCATTTTAACCCATGAGTTATTTAGCTTCCCAACATAGGATTACTTTTAAGTATCTTTTAATATTTACCTTCATTGCATTTTGGTCAGAGAATTTAGTCTGAACTAAATAGACCCTTTTAGAACTAGTTATACTTTATAACCTAATACATGATCTATTTTCATGTGTGTATATGTGCACTCAAATATCTATTCAGTTTGGTATAGAGTTCTGACTACTGATATAATACCAAAAGTGTATTAATATTTTGACTGTTTCAGGTTTCTTATATCTCCTGCTTATATAGTTCTGTCCATTGTTACTTGAGAAATTTTGAGGATGTGCTTTCAGGACCATAAACATTTATGATGAGTACTATATAATTTTATTCTGTTCCTTTTACTGATACTGTTGTCCATCTTTGTCCCTTATATGTTTTGACTTGAAATCTTTTTTGTTGGGTATTAAGATTGCTATCTCAGCTTTATTTTGGTCCACAATTGCGTGATACATCTTTGTTCATTCTTTTTTTTTTTTTTGCCTTTCTGTGTCTTTTTGCTTTGAAGTATCTTCTGTTAGTTGCATATTATTGAATCTTGTTTTGTTTTTTTAATCCAATCAGAGTGTCTGTCTTTTAACTGTGAGTTTAAATTGTTTACATTCATTATAATTTCTACTATATTAAGAATTACACCTGGAAGAAAAAAAAATTTACACCTGCCATCTTCTCTCATATCTGTAGAGTATGGTTATATGACCACAACCTTTGGGTCCCAACAAGAGTCGTACGCAGCTCTATAACCAGGACAGGTCCCCTAAAACTAATCCCAATAAGCACATCTAAAGGGAAAAAAGTACCTTTTACAGCTCTCTATTGAGTTTGGGGCATAAGGGAACTGCTCTTGCAGAAGTAATTTTCTGGGCTAGAACAGTGTACTAAAAAATATGTACCAATAAATGATTAGAATGACCCCAGGCTCTCCTTCCCAGGAGTCATTCCCAATAGAAAAATCTGCCTAAGACTATGAGCTAGAGATGGCAAAGCCCAGTAAGTGTTCGTGTTCAGCATCTGTGTTCTTAGATACTATATAAAGTTAGAGGGACAATAATGTTATGCATTGCTTTCAGGCTTTAATATCATTTCTCTAGTCTTCTCATTCACAGGTTAAAGCTACCTTTCCAGATAGTTCAACAACTAAGTCACCAGTTATCAAGGGCATTTGCACCACCTATGGAAAACGTCAGATCCGTGTACACCAGATGTCCCTGGCAACTCATCCCACCATCTCCCTGAACAAAATTTGCACCAACAGCGGACAAGAAAGGCAACCATTGTTTCTTTTGTTACCAAGTAGATATAACATCCCTGCCAACAAAACAGAATACACAAAGTGTCCCTTCACAGTATCACGACCAGTTGAGAACAGGCTAAGAAAATCAGCTTGCCTAGATGAGGACCCCTTCTCTTCTTGGGTAGCCAGGATTTGAAGGAGAGACTCTGACCTGTACCACTGGTAAGTGACTTAACACTTTTACACACTGAACTGGTCCTGAGAACTGAGATGTCTTCTTTGTAAGTGAAGAATATGCAACATAATCTTGAAGAACTGCACAGTGATATGAGCCAGAGGCATACTGTGTGTGTATGTAATGGACTGACAAATTAATCTTGTTGAAGGATTTTTCATCTTTTGTTTCTGTTTGCTAGTTTTAGTATTTTGCTGGCTTAGACTGTTACCTTTTTCTGGTTTCTTCGTCTAATCTAATGGGTCCCAGAAATCCCTCTCCTGACCCCTTATCAGAATCAGAAAGTGAGGAAGAAGAAAATGCTGACTACCTAAATGAGAGTTCTGGGCAAGAGTGGGATTCCTCTGAAGAAGAAGACCGTGTGGTTCCCAACCTCACACCTCTTGAGAGTCTTGCCTGGCAGGTTAAGTGCCTTTTAAAATACTCTACAACTTGGAAACCCTTAAATCCTAATTCCTGGTTATATCACGCTAAACTCTTGGATCCAAGCACACCAGTTCATATACTCCGGGAGATAGGTCTGAGACTCTCCCATTGTTCCCATTGTGTACCCAAACTGGAACCAATTCCCGAATGGCCTCCTCTGGCTTCTTGTGGAGTCCCACCTTTTCAAAGGCCCCTTACAAATGCCAGTCGGCTTTCTAGAGATCATGCCACTCTAAACGGAGCACTGCAGTTTGCCACCAAACAGTTAAGCCGGACATTGAGTAGAGCCACTCCCATACCCGAATACCTAAAACAGATCCCTAATTCATGTGTTTCTGGTTGTTGCTGTGGCTGGTTAACTAAAACAGTTAAGGAAACAACCCGCACTGAACCCATCAACACTACTTACTCGTACACTGACTTCCAGAAGGCAGTTAACAAACTCCTAACCGCATCACTCTAAAGACCCACCATTTGTTCTGCTATCTCTCATTGCTAATTGAGAAGGAAGTAGAAGGTCACACACACCACAGTTGAGAAGCAAATGCCTTCTCAACCAAACCATACCCTGTCCTAACAAGCCCTTAAGTACTACCGAGTACAGTGGTACCGTAACTCAGCTACAAAAAATGCATGGTGATCATGCCCTTTGACAGACCCTGTGGATAAAATGAAAACTTCAGTAGAAAATTAGACAAAAGGGACCATATTACAAAAGTTAAGTTGACTGTTGTCCACACTCAGTTCTCCCCCGCCCCAACCCAATTTATTCTGCCTTTCTGAATGGACTCTTAACCAGATATCTCATTGTGAACGGGAAGGAAGAAGTAGTAGGCCCCTACCCCTTTCGTTACCTAACCTTCAGAATAGCCAGTGGAGAAGAGGGAACTTAGCTTTTCCCAATAACACCTCTCTGAGCATACTCTTTCCTAACAATTTCTATGAGATAGTTGCATTAATTGGAATTCCTTAGACAAAAGAAAATGGTGGGGCTATGAATTTATCTCCCAGCTTTTATACAGATAGGCCTATATATGGCACCCTTTAGGGTTCCTGTTTTGGAGGGGAGGGAGTGAAGTTTCAAACCTAGGCTGCACTGCTTCAGGCCTATTATAGTACCTGCGGTTACAGTATAAACCTTTATACATTAAGTTCCCACCAGGCTGTCTGTAGCTACATTGGCCTAAAAATTGTAACCAGGGATTAGACAGACACCTGTTCTGTGGGGAACAGGTTTCCTGCATCTTGGCATTCAGACTTTGGTCAAGAGTAGATCACATTTTAAAAGACCAATGGGAAAGGATTAAGAGCACTTATGCTGTCAATATTAACTGCTAATGAATTAAAATATTTCACCTGCATAATGTTCTCAGCAGTACTTTATGCACTGTTAACATCCATTGCAAACTTTTCAGGAACTCTTCTAACTTTAAAGAACTTAGCACTACAGAAAATCTCAGCCTAATACAATCAAAAGTTGGAGTTTTTAGCATCATTGTTTTTCTACATAGATTAGCTTTAGATTTTCTTCTAGCTCAACAAGGAAGAGTATGTACCCTTATAAATGAATCTTGCTGCATTTATTTAAATGAGTCAAAACATAGAAATCATACATAAAAGATTCATGGGACCAATAAATCTTTTCACACACCTACAATAGAGTGAAACCTGTGTGTGTGATCCTGGTTGACTGGGCATCTAAAAGGAATCAGAAAATAGATTGTTAAAGATCCTATATCCTTTCATTTTACTTTTACTTTTTTCCTATTCTCCATAATTAAATGCTGTATATGATGTGGCATCAAAAAAATGGAAGCATTAATGGAATCACAAATTCTATACATGTATAGCAACTTTAAGGAGAGAGGAGAATGTTTATAATCCAATGAGAATTTCTGCTGAGTCTTAGTTGTCATATCTTAAGGAAAAAAGAGGGGACCTGTAGTAGGTAGGAAAGATATTTGTGAATGGAAAATTACTGAACTGAAACCATATCATACTGTTAGTGTAATTGAATGTATCAGAAACTGTTCCTATGTAGAGATGTTTTGTGAAATCGGGTTTTTAAAATGTTATAAGAAGCTGTTTCCTTTTTTTTTTTAAGGGGAAGGTGGGAAGAGGTAGGGAGGTCTGAAAATTAAAATATATTGATGTTTGTGTAACCATAATATGTTCCTTTTTCTGTGTGTGTGTATATAAAAGTGCCTTGCTCCTGAAGCATTTTTGCTATTCACTCCAAAAGGAAGCCTTTCCCCAGCTCTGCAGCTGAATAAACCAACAGCTTTGTACGTGCTGAAGAGTATGGTCATTTGTTCTCAACAAATGAAGTAGATCCTGCTTTGCTTAAGGCATATTCAACATTCACTAAATGCTGAATAGAGTCAACTGATCAGATAGATGATAGATACATACATACAATATAGTGTCTCTGATAGGAAGTGACTTGGGAGCTCTAGATAATGTAACATACTTGTAAAAGAAAATGTCAGATATTCAGTCAAGACCTAGATTTGAACCCATTTGTTTGTATATGTTAGGTAATTACGGGTTACACAAAATGAGAGATACGTGGAAAAGCTTTAAGCCTTTACTTCTTTTTGTGTGCCATGGACGTGGGGTTAGGGGTGGATTTACCACTTTCACACTCTCCCTACAAGCGATTAGGAGAAATGACAAATTTACTCTGTTTTCATAGAAATATTTATCTAAGGAAACAGGATTTCTAAACCAAGAGACATTAATGTTACAAAGGTACCATTCTCTCTCAATGCAGATAGGCAGCCTTTTTTTGTTGAAGCGGTCCAGATACTTCGAGCACAGAAGACCATAATCATGTCTTTTAAACCCATCAGCTTTCCTAAGAGAAGGAAAAAATTGATACATGCCTGATGAGGGACAGATTTAAGTTGCCTTTCAGGGATTATCCTGCTGGGGCTCCTATCACAAGTATCCATTTAAAAAAATTTCTCTATGATGAAATAATGTTCTGTTATTAGAGTAGATTATTAAAGCTGTTAGGGAATTTAGAAATCACTTGGATTATTTTCGTACTGACACATAAATTCTCTCTTCTGACTCTAATAAATTATTTTCTACTTTTAGCTTCCGTATTAGAGAATTTAATGCCTTTTGGAGCAGCCCATTATTTTTAAATGTCTCTTATTAGAAATTTAGTTATTCATCTAGTAATAGTACGGAGTGCCTACTATAATCCAGACCCTGGGAGTGCAAAATTAAATAAGATCTATACATAAGAAATCAGTTTTAAAATATATTGAACCAGGGCGCCTGAGTGGCTAAGTCGGGTTAAGCATCTGACTTCGGCTCAGGTCATGATCTCAGAGTCCTGGGATCAAGCCTGAACCCTGCATCTGGCTCCCTGCTCAGTGGGGAGTCTGCTTGTCCCTCTCCCTCTGCACTTCCCCCTGCTTTGCTCTGTCTTTCTCTCAAAATCTTTTTTAAAATAATAAAAATAATAATACATATTGAACCAATGTATACTACCCCAAAGCTTTTGGCCATTGATGCTGTTTTTGCTCTCTAGGGTCACATTAAATTAGCCTAATCCTTATACAGACCCTTAGATATTTGTAAATGTGTGGCCATCCAAGTGTAGTGGAAAGTTACATGGAGGGCACACTCCAACAATGAAACCCCAAAAGGGGTAGTCACCTAAGGGAATAGATAAAGAGCTTTGTCTTTTATACACAGATTTAAGTTGTATTTGATAAGTTCACAAGGCAATGGCACATAAAGATCAGGACCAGGAGTGTTTTGCTCATATGACTGGGGTACATAGAAAAGCCCAGAAAGTTTGGGTGACTTGTCAGACTTCATGATACAAGTCTGTGCAAGCTCCTGGTATATGAGCCCACCAGTTAGCAATATCCACTGGGCTGAGGGAAATTGAGGGAGCTGTATTAGCTGACACCAACCACCAGGTATTTCTCCTGTGTGGACTTGCTGTTACCAAAAAGAAAATCTCTGGCATATCTTTGCCAATTTTAAACAAAGTTTAGTTAACAGTCACATGTTTGAGTCCGATCACTGTATACAGTCCTCTACGTTCTTCCTTTCAGTTGGTGGTATCAGTGGGATTATATAACAGTTTTGGACGTGAGACCAAGAAAATGGTAAGGATGAAGGTAACACAATGAGCTGACACTTGCTGGCTACCCAACTCCTGTTGGCTGTGAGAACTATGGCCAGCTCCTCTCAGTGAGATGTGGGAAAGGAATGCCTGATTTTAAAAATAATATAGCAAGCAGAGGGTCCCAGAGTTGTTGCTTCCAAACAGCATGGAGTCGGTTTAAAATGCTAGTGACAATTTAGGGTTGGATCATAAAACAAGTTGACTGGAGTTTGGGCAATTTATTTGGGAAGACATAGATGACCCTGACACATAATGTGAAAATTCCTGGGATCATTTGGGAATTGATGCCCTGTTCCCTGGAGTAGAACATGATCTGTAATTGTCTAGGAGAATCAGGATCCTGGTCAGCCTGACAAGATTAAAACTAAGTTCCTAGTATACACAGAAACCAAGTTGGTGTGATATCAAATTAGATTTCAGCAGAAACCAGATGAAATTGTCAGAATCAGTGTTGCAGCTTGTAAATTCAGGAGCCCATTGTTACTTCAGGGAAAATTACATTTGGGTTAACTGCCAAAGTTATGCTTATTTAATGCTAACATTCCATCCCTGGTGTCAAGTGTGGGACCTGACACCCCAATGTATCAACTGATGTTTTTCAATTTGTTCATTAGGCAATAGTCTGGAAGGGACAACTTCCTTTAGGAGGCACCCAAACATTTGGAACAGTCCAAGGGTATGGCCAGTTTTCATGAAAGACCCTGAATTGGCTTTATGATTGCACCCTGGACAACCAGAAAGACTTGATTCTGCACCAGTGGCAGAGCTCTGGTGACACAAGGGGCCAACACCTAGAGAACTAAATTATATATTAATTGAAAGCATTAACGTGGCCACAACCAATGCATTCCACAGGAATTTATCACAAAGTGGGCTATATCGTGTCAGCCCCTAGCTACCTGCCTGGTGGTAACATAGACTCCCAGTGACCTGAGTGTTTTGGTCCAGATCCCATTTTCCCTCTATAAACCCCGCTTGTTTATGTTGGTCACTTTTCTACACATTGTTTCTTTACAAGTGTTGGGTTACTGATTTAGCAAATAAAAATACAGGATGCCCAAATAAATTTGAATTTCTGATAAACAATGAAATATTACACCAGAAAAAAATTATTATTTATCTGAAATTCACATTTAATCCATTTTTTTTTATCTGGCAGCCCTATAAATGTGTTAGTAGCATCGACTGGGTTGTAGTCCTGGAGTTTCCTGGAGTGCAGTCTGGTTCTTCCCATTATGTGTTGCCTACTTACCTCCAACTACTTGATGGGGGTGGGAGAGAAGGAGGCTAACCCTCAGTTGACCCAAGATTAGAGGTGTGAGGTGGAAGGGAATCCCAATTGCTAGTATGAGAGTTTTATAGGAGACACATTTTATTTGGCTAAAATAATCGCATAACCAATAAAACATTTACAGACACACATCTTTAAAATGCTGTCGCAATAATAGGTAGTTTAGGTTTGTTGTTGTCTGTGTTCTGTTTGGATTAACTGGTAAATCTTAAGC